AGAAAAGAAAAATAATAAGTTTTATTCAAGAAGGAAGAAACAAAAAATAAATTAAATATCAATGATATAATAAATATAATATTTTCACGCGAGGCCTTTCGAATTATTCTTTTTCAAGCGATGTTGTGGACATTATTCTTGATCTTGATTCTTTGATGTTTCATTTTTGGTTCTTTCGATTATTCATTTTAAGTCATTTATTATCATTGATTTGATTTTTCATTTTTGGTTCTTTCGATTATTCGTTTGAAGTCATTTATTATCATTGATTTGATTTTGTTGTTGTTTCATTTTTGGTTCTTTCGATTATTCATTCTAAGTCATTTTATTATCATTGATTTTGTATTGGGGTGGATTATTCTGATAATTTTTAATCGTTTATTATAATGCATTGTAATGCATTTTTATTCTTAGTTGTAGTTGATCGTTATTGATAGTTTTCAATTGTTTATTTCTAATGTTTATTTCTAATGCATTGTAATGCATTTTTATTCTTAGTTGTAGTTGATCGTTATTGATAGTTTTCAATTGTTTATTTCTAATGTTTATTTCTAATGCATTGTAATGCATTGATAATTTTCAATTATTTATTTCTTAATGCATTATAATGCATTCTTTTTTGTAGTGCTTAATTATTTATTTTTAATGCATTATAATGCATTCTTTTTGTAGTGGATTATTTTTTAATATTTAATTCGTTAAATTTCGTTAAATTTCGTTTTGTTTTTGGTGGATTGCTTTGATTTTTAATATTGTGTTATGTTATCATTCTTTTTGGTCGTAGTGGGTTATGTTGATAACTTTTAATAATTTTTTAATGTATTGTAATGCGTTTTTATTCTTAGTTGATTGTTCTGATCATTTTTAATTATTCATTCTAATGCATTCTAATCTATTATTTTTGTTTTAATTCATCATAATGCATTTTTTTGCATTTTGTTTGTAGTGGATTGTTTTGTTTTCATCATTTTTTAATAATGTTTGTTTTGTTTTCGTCATTCTTTAATAATGTATTTCAATTTTTATAATAATTTTTTAATTTCATATTCTTTCTTTAGTTATGGCGAGCATAAAATGTATGAATCGGTATATTGACGTGGTCGTTTCATTAAATGCACAAGTATTTTGCACAATAAAGGTGAGTATGATTATGAAAGAGATATTTTTACAATAGATTGGATGAATATGGGGAAGAGGCATTGTTACAATAGTTTGGATGAATATAAGGGAGAGACGTTATTTACAATAGATTGGATGAATATGGGGAAGAGGCATTGTTACAATAGTTTGGATGAATATAAGAGAGAGACGTTATTTACAAATATTATATTATGAAAATATATTTTGAGGATAAATGTTATCACAATAAATGTTATGAGAATGGATATACAAATAGAAATGTCTTTTACATTAAGTGAGCAGGATAAACAGAAAATATTTTTTACAGAAAATATTTTTTACAATAGATAATATAAAAATAAATTAAATTAAGATAGAAAAAGAAAAGGTAAGAAACATACGAAGTATAAATAGACAGTATTTTTTACAGTAGATAGTAGGAAGTAAATTAGGTTACAAACAGTAAGAAAATTAATAAGATACATGGGATGGACAGAGGTAATAAGACAGAAAAATAGTTGATATGAATTAGAACAACAGATGGATACAATTTAGTTATTGTTTTTCGTTTTTTGTTGTTACTTTTTATTCCTTATTTTATATTTTATTTTATTTTTGCTTTTAGTTTTTATTCTAGCTTTTTGTTGCTGTTGTTATTTTCTTGGTTGTTTGTTTACGTTATTTCAAGTCTCATGTCATTCTTGCTGTTATATTCTTTTTTCTTTTTCTTTTTTAGCTGTTGTTGTCTGTCTCTCTTCCTCAATAGTTCTGTCTTATTTACTTTTCTTTTCGCTTATTATTTTTTGTGTAAAGGTGTTTATTTTTTATTTTATTTTATTGATTATGGTAATAGTTTGATGGCTTCTTTACTAGGTCGTTTCTTTACTGAGAGGTGTCTTAGGCTATCTGACACTCTGTTAGCATACATGACTGGTATGTCGTCTAGAGGTGTGTCTTCGAATATCTCTTGCCATATTTGATGAAAACGAGAACCGAAATGTGCTAAGGATGGGGTGTATGTGAAATGAAGAAGGATATCCTTGCCAAACTCTATCTTTCTTTTTTCTTTTTTCTTCCATTCAGGTTCAAGCGTTCTTTCTCTATACGCTTGATGTCTTTCTCCTAGTAGTAAATCTGATGTTCGTTGTTCAGTTGCATCTTGAAAAAATCGTCCTATGTGCTTATCAATAAATCTAGGTGGATATTTATTTAGGAGTAATGTGATTCTAATTTTTTCTAATTCGCTTCGAAGATCTTCTGAATGGGAGCATATGCGTGTAGCTCTTAAGGCTGCTGCATATGGTATGTTTCTTTTTATGTGTATTGGATGAGATGAATGAAAGGGAAGCACATATGGTTGTGCTGCTAGTTTCCGAAAGACTTTTGTTCTAAAATTCGGAATCTCTATTGTAGTTGTTACATCTAAGTAGTCTACTGTTTTTCCTCCTTCCCATGTAATGGTTAAATTAGGATCTTTCTTATTTATCTCTGATAAAAAAAATTTTATTTGTTCTTGTGGTAATCTTGTAGTTAAAAATACATCATCTCTAAAACGTAGATATAACTCTCCTTGCTGTTGTTGTTGTTGTACGAATTCGTTTTCCCATTTTCGTACATATATGTCAGCGAGTACTTGTGTAAAAGCTGAACCCATCGCTCCTCCTTTAATCTGTCGATAAAATTTAGGTTTTAATCCTGGTAATTGTAAAACGAAATATGAGTTCTCCAATATATGCATAAACATTTCTTTTATTGTATTTAT